TATGGTCAAATCATGCTGGAAAGACTAGTTCTTGTTTGATCACCAAAGTTAAACAGCATAAAACCTGGTTAGTACTTAGATGGGGGACCACTTGGGAACACTGAGTACTGTAAGCAACCTCCTACAATTCAAATTATGTTTAGGTTTTAAATAACCCATAAAGGGTTGATAAGTTGTAAAAAATCAATCAATGCTTGTGTTCATGAAATAAGTTTTCAGTAGAGGATGTTTGTTAGTATATGCAGTTTGATTGGAAGATTATCTCCTGATCTGATGAGCTTAACTTTCTCTCAAATTAAGTGGATAATAGGTTGGATATACTCTATTATCTTAAGGAAGCTAGTGGAGACAATGAGATGGTTTGGGCAAAAATCTGCTGGGAAAACACCAGGTTTTATTATTCCTATGAAACATATATTATGTACTACTAATATTTTAACCATGTTGAATCCTAGTGAATTGTAAGGTCACAGACTCACCATGCTTAGCATTACTGCTGTGGTTAATGTAGCAAATAGGTTTTTATGAAGTAGAGTTACTAACCCCATATACAACTGATTTTGGATTCAGAATTGTCCTTCTCTTAGACTGGTTGCCAACTAATGTGATAGAGATGAGTCTTCCCTCCTATTTACCTCTAGATAATAGATGAATCCATGTTTTCAAGCCTATTTGTGTGAAAATGAATGCAACAGCCTAGACTGGAATTTTGAACTCAGCATGCTGTTCCTACTTTCTGCACTTATAACCATTATTATACTATGCACATATCCCATGTTTGTTTGTTTTTTTAAGCATTTCACCCCAAGCAAGGCAGGAGTGCTACCAGCATGCAAGGGATTACAGAGTAGGAGGAAGAGTAAAGAGGCATGATAGAAGAAAGGTTGAAGAGAAGGACAGGGAATAGATCAAGGCATCTGGAGATGTTGATTGACATTGCATTTGAATATTTGTTGATTATAGCTATCAGGGAGGCAAGTAAGAGGAAGGGAGTTTCACAGACCGGAAGTGTGAAACATGAAGCTATTGGAGTAGAAGAGATGGCTACATTTAACTCTTTTTGACAGTGAAAGGGTGGAAAAGTAGCTCGTCGGAGCAGTTACCATGAAAGTATTTATAGAAAAGACAGAAGGAAGCGATGGCATATCTGTGAGAGAGCGACTGTAAACGTACTACTTACCCCAATATATCTGAAGATGAGGTACACTCCTTCATGTCAACACTCTTCAACAATGGCAGTGGGATCTTTCGGAATAACAATATATCCTGTCACACTGCACAAATTTTAAGGGAATGCTTTCAGCAAGAAGATGACTTCACTATGTCAACCTTGTCACAAAACTCTCCAGATCTCAATCTCACTGAGCTCTTTTAGGATGTTTTTGGACCAACAAGTTTGAACTGAAGAACTGCCACCCCTATAAATTGTAACAGTTAAATGACTGCTTTTAACACCCTGGCACTAGACCCTAGAGAAAACCTTTAGAGATCTTGTAGACTTCATCTCTGACTGGGTATTTCTCAATCTGATTAACACCAAATTAAAAAAAAATGCATTTTTTCTCTGCAAACTCTGATAATTATTTGATATTTTCTAATTCTGCCTGTGATTTATATTTTCAAATACATGATAGAGAGATTGATTCTTCTATTAATCTTATTAGAGACCTAATCCTAAGTAAGTTTTTCTGACATTATACAAATCTTATTTTATAGTAACATTTGCCAACTAAACTGTACAAGGAATGAATGATTTGTTATTGGTTCACAAGTTTAATGTCGATAGAATGTCAGGATGCATGAGTAATGTAATAGTGATCATCACAGAAAGTGAAATCAATGAGCCAAGTTCAAATTCCAGCCAAGTATGTTGCATTCACTTTCACACTAATACCTAAAAGCATGAATCCATCTTTTCTCCTTCCAGCTGTGGGTTAAATAGCACTAGCCTTGGATGGTACTAGTCTAAAGTAGGTAAACTCTGAATTCAAAACCATAGAAAAGGCAATAGAAAAACCATTTCATTATCTTTCTCAAAAAGTCATGGTCATGGATGTCCTTTTGGGCCCAATCAAGATGATCTGGATGAATTTTCAAAATAGACCTGGGTGGGGAGAATTTAAAGTGGGAATATCATTGCACTGGGGTAACCCTACTATTTTGACCTAGAGAGTCTTTATCCAGTGGTTTGAGGAATTTTTACAACCCAAGACTTCTCGGAAACAGTAGATGACTGGACTTCTATGTGTCACATCCATGATCTGATGCACTCCTCAGCATTTGCTGACATCACCTTTATGGCCATGGAATTTTTGAAATTCAATTTGGCAGTGTGCTACCAGGGATGTAAAAGAGGATACATTTATAAAGCAATTGTTAAGTTTGATGAAAATTGGTTGAAAGATCAACAAAAAATAAGAAAGAAACCAGTAAAAATTGCCATTTTTCGCTATTTACGCAGGTTTTCACTATATGGGTGGACTCAATTATCAAGATAAATGACTGTTAAACAATCAATTTATTGTTGGCTACAATGCTCTGACGCACTCCAGAGCACTTGCTGACATCACCTTCATGGCCAATGGATCTGTAGAATATCTCGTCCACCTACTCCACAGTTAATCAGTCTTCACATGCAATAGGGCTGACAAATACAAAATTATCAATGGTTTGGGCCCATCATCTACCCTCACCTGCGAATTGAAACAGTTTACCAGAGTGTGACCACTGCTGCATACAGACAACTATTTGGAGCCACAGGTGAGAGTTGGGTGCTGGGTGGAACTACTCACAAAGAAATATGACTGTTTCTCCGTCAGTGGTACTATCTCTCCAACACCTTAAACATTTTTTTATACAATATATTGGAGCAAATGGATTGTTGTCAGATGTACCAATTACTAATATTATAATAGAATATATTTAAATGATATATATCAGAAAGTAATCAATAAATAACAATGTATATATAACTAGCAGCCATACCCAACTGGTCGATCAGAAAAAGCGTTCAATTAGAATTGAGCAAAAACAGCATCATGTTTAGATGTAACAGAGTCTATATTCTTCAATTACGTTAAAATACTTTCATTAAAAAACATTTTGAATTAATGCAGTTAGTGATATAACAGAAGTAGTCTGTACTTATTCAATCGAAGTTAGCTGAGGACATGATGGGGTAAAACAGTTAACATGAAGACCCACTTCAGACTACGATTATTTTGGAGTATTTGAAATTCAATTTGTCAGTGTGCTATCAGAGATCTAAAAGAGGATACATTTATAAAACAATTGTTAATTTTGATGAAAATTGGTTGAAAGATCAATGAAAAATAAAGAAACCAGTAAAAATCACTGTTTTTCGCTATTTACACAGGTTTTCACTATATGGGTGGACTCAATTATCAAGTTAAATGACTGTTAAACAATCAACTTATTGTTGGCTACAATTGAGTGAAGTTTTATTTGATTGCTGGAAAATTGAGGGAGTTTTTAGTTTAAAATTTGTGTTGAAATCGTTTTTTCGTTTTTCACTAAATGCAGTGGTGTAGAAATAAAAATTAGGTATTGTTGAGCTGATGTAAGTAAGCTACATACCAAGTTCGAATGAAATCGAAAGATAAAAAGTTAAATTTACCGATTTTTGATCAGCTTTATTAATTATTGATTTTCTTTTAAAAATTATCGATTTTTTATGCTAAGAACCTATCTCCTACATTGTATAATGTATGTACCAAGTTTGGTCAAAATTGGTTAGATGGAGCTTATGTGAAAAGATATCACAAAGATTGACAGATAGACACACACACAGAATCCTCTGTTTTATATATAGAGATAACTATATATAATAGATAATAAAAAATAATTGCCAATTTATACTGCATTCAGTTTAATATCTTCAACTTTTGAGTAACACCTTTTACAAAGCAAATAAGATGAAATTAAATATTATGGGATAAAAACAAAAATTTTACATCATTTTCAACCATTATAACTGAGAGAGACTGAAGAAAAGTTGAGAAAGGTGAGTTCTAGTTTTAATTGGTTCATTTCAACTCTTTAATGATTATAATCATTTTGTAATTTTGAAAACCACACTAAAACTATCTTATAAATAATTTTTTACATGGTTGATGCTAACCTCCAGGAGAGTCATTCCTTGCAACATTTTCTACTGATAGGAGGTGGAAAGATTATATGAATCAGTTGCTAGGCCTGCTTCTAGGAAAGTTGGTTCACTGTGTTGTTCTAGACAATTTTCCTCTTTGGGATCTATTTTACACATTTATAAGCCTCCTATTCATCCATGCATTGAATATTGCTGCCACATCTGGTCTGGTGCGTCTGCTACATATTTAAAGATTCTTGATAAAATACAAAGAAGAATCTGCAATATTATTGATCCTGACCTGGCATCTGGTCTTTAGTTATTTTTCCACCACTGTAACCAAGCAACCCTGTGCCTTTTCTATAAATATTTTCATGGTAATCGTTCTGATGAACTTTTCTCTTTGGTATCTAGACTTTATAAGTTTAAGTGCAGCACTATATTGGCAGCTAGGTCTCATCTTTTTACAGTTGAAATGGCTAGATGTAACCATATGTTCTATGATAATAGTTTCTTTTCTTGCACTTTTTGCTTGTGGAACTCTTTTCCAGCTTCTCTCTTTCCAGTCAACTTTGATCTTCAAAAATTTAAATGTCTATTGTTAACTTCTGTCTTCTTAATTCCTGTTCTTTTGTTGTTCTCTCTCCTTCGACTTGTTTAAAACATCTCTAAAGATTCATTTCATGCCATATATAAACATTACTTCTTTTTTAATCAATTCATTCAAAGCAAGGCAAAAACATCATTAAGATGAAAGGGGCTACTGAAAGTGAAAGAAAAGGAAGACTTTAAAAGGAACTGAACACTCATTAATAATATAAGCTTAGGCAGAAATGTTAGTATAGAGCTGAAGTAGAATTTGGAAGTAACTGGAATACCAGTCCTAAACATGAAACAAGGGATAAACATCTACTCTTGTTGAAAAGAACTGGGAGCAGTGTGAACTGGACAACAGGTAAACCCATCTATTCCTATTGAGAAAAAAATAAATAGTAATAATTTCAGA